CTCGAGAAGGTCAAATTATGAAAATACCCCTATAAGGGTATTTGGTAATTTCACACTTTTAGGGTTTAAATGGGTAATTAACCTATCTTTATTTTATGGTGGGAAACCATTGAAAATGTCCATGATTTGCAACCTTAATCCCATATTATGAAACCTCAACAACATACTCAGCCATCGTGTCAGAAACAGCAGTAAGAATTTTCTTTTAAAAATGTTTAGTGTCAAGTTGTTGGAAGATCAAATATAATAAACTTGATTATCTCAAGGGCTAGCTCCAGCTTAAGCTGAACAAGGAAACCCATGTTAGGAAATTGATTCAGTCTGCAAAGAGTCTTACCAATCCCCTATATTAAAAGGGTTTGCAGCTCAGACCAGACAGATGCAGACACGGGAGTCCATTGTAGAGGTAATGAGCGGCAAAACAAGATTTAATCATACCAAACCTTAAATCTATATTAAGTGTGACAAATTCACTCATCTCTACCTCCAGATGGTGTTATGATACATGCCTCAAAGATAAGGTTTTGGACATTCTGTCAAGGAGATCAAAGATTTATAGTCACAAGAAAATCAAATAAATAAATGTTTTCTCCAATTTTCATAAGCGAATATTCATCCATAGAATTATGAGCCCAACTTGGTTGTTAAAAATGCAAGCAAATATAGACATATGAAATTGGATACTTACAGCATGGGCAATGCTAAGGAGGAGATCTCGCGAAGCTTGGCCCGTCAAAACTTTCTTCAAAGCATCTGAAGTTAATGGAAAATGAGTTCCACCAGACAGCGCCTCACCAAAGCGCAGGAAGGGCACCACCAGACTAGATGATATGAGAGAACAACATCGATAAAAATGGATTCCAAAAACGCAGGGCAAAGGGGAAACGGTGAAAAAGAAGGAAAATTACCTCAACTCAATAGGAGTAGCAATGAAGTTAGCAAGCATGACAGTTGGAGAATGGGAGAGGGATCCCAACAACGCTATTGCCATTCCACACAGCAACACTGTAACCCCTGCAGCCATTTTTTATTTTCTTCAAATCAAACCAGTTTTATGAATCAACCAAAAATCCAAATGAAAAAGCAAAGAAGAAATCAATCACCACATATTGGGAATATTCCCAAAGTAAATCCCAAAGCAGCGGAGAAGGCCAATTGCTTGGGTTCTGCTCCCTTGCGGAGGATTTGGAGGAGAGGATCCACGATCTTTTCTTTCAACCAAAGCGTCACTGCCATTGAAACAAACAAACAAACAGACAAATTTCTGTGATTCTTTGCAAAATTTGCGGTCTGCCTCTGATAGAGAAAGATGAGTAGAAAAGAGGGCGAGGAATCAATCTTATATATTTATTATCTTTGACGTGGTAGAGCTGATTAATTTTATATTATTATCATATAATTAATAGGAAAACTACGCCACAACAACGTTTCATTTATGTGCCAAAAAAATTAATTTTAATGTTTAACTTTTGAAAAATTGCTATCAAATAAAACAACAGTTAAAAGTAGTGTCATAATTGATTTCAAATATATGAATAATTAAAATATTGCATTAATTAATAATTATAATGCATTTAGTTTATATAGATTAATTTAATTTTTAGCTCAAATTAATTGAAATATATTGCAACTCAAAAAATTTAAATTAATGATATGTTAAAATAAACTTTCAAATTTATATTTACAATAATTATTATTTTATTTCTCAAATAAAATACATATTAAAATTCACAAAAAATATAAAAATAAAAAGTATAAATTTTTTTTTATTATTTGGATATATATAAAATGGTGAAAATATTTTTTATGTACTAATGTGTTACTTAATAGTAGGTTAATTATTTGTTGGACTGAAGCCGATATGTTTTATGAGTAACTAAAATATATTTTTAATATGTATTAATAATAGTACTATGTAAATTAAAAAATAACAAATAAATCATGTATTAGTAAAAGTATTATTTGGTAGTGTTTTTCATCTTTACAAATACAACTCATAGCAACTATTATTTAAAGCTTTTGTCATAAAAAAAACTAAAAAAATAGTACATCAAAAAGAATAAATAAAAAACTATTTGCACCATCATACCACACTCATCAAATTCAAAGTTATGGGAGAAATTTTTTATGAAACCTTTCTATTACTTAGTATACTTAATTTGTTTATGTTTCAAGGAATTCAAAGTTGCAAGTTAAAAAATCTAAATGAAATTGAATCATTAATTATTTATCTATAAAATAAATTAAAATTGTCTCGTAACTTTAGTTGTATTAATTTGCTTAACACCTTTTTAATGTCATAAAAAAAATTTGAGGATAAATTTAAAAAGAAAAAAAACTATGCTTCCCCATTTTTTTAATGACTTTATTATTGTTGAAATAAATCAACATTGAAGCTATCCAGAAGCTTTTAGAGATGGATAATTAGGAAAAACAAAAAAAAAAATAAGGGAACAAGAAAGAGAAGAAGCAACGAAAGAGGAATAGAATCACTAACCAACATCAACATAAGTTGCAATTAGTGTTGAATGACTAAATTGAAAGGCAAAGAGAAGGGGAGAGATATAGGGATAAGATGTCCTAATCTCTGATTCAAATAGAGATTCAAACAAATACATCAATATTCGATATGAACGATGGGTCTTTGAAGTTTAACTTTATCTTTCACGTGAAGATCATATCTTTCATGTGTCAAATTTGAATTTGTGATTTTGTTGTTTTTTGTTTCTCTTAATTAATTGGAAAAATAATATAAGGTTTTTTATTGTCCTTTTTTATTAAAGAAAGAGTGATCAGGAATTAAAAGAGATTTCGCATGTGCTTAAGGTTATAAAAGCTAATATGATGGTAGAATTGAAGAATAAAGAAGCTTATCTTTGCAAATTGAAATTAGGTATGTATATTACCTCTTTGATATTTGGTTTTTATTTTATTTTATCCAGTTATTTGTTTCGGTTTACATGATAACATATTTAGGTATGTGTCTATTTTAACTTTAGATGATTGAAATCGAAGGTATACACTTGCACTATATCATTTAGGTAGAGTAGCCCAGGTAAATAAATGCATTTTCACATGGTAAATTTGTAAACCTATTTGAAATGATGGATACCAGTTCTTTGATTTGTAATATAATATTTAGCTTTACCTTTCAATGTACTTATAATTTTATAAAGTTAAAAAATAAGCTTTATTCATGGGGAAATGATTAGAGGGTAGAGGTAAGACAACATGTTGGTCTTTACTTTAGCATATGATTAGGTAATATAAAGCTCATAATGATTTCTATGGCTAGATGTTACTTTATATATTTGGATCGATTATTTTATCTATGTACAACAATCAGACAATAAATTAGTAGTACCAATATGTCTTCGACAGCATATAAAAGTTAAAAATAAGTAAAATAGAAAGTTTGGAAGAAAAAGCCATGCTATAATTACTTAAATAATGGAAAGATGATAAGCATTAATAGGATCATTTTTAAAAAAGACTAAGAAAGTGCATGTGAGGATAAATGGCCTTTTTCTTCAAAGATTTCCAACCAATCATTGTAGAAGCTCAACATAAACTTATAAAACAATTTTAGATAAGCTATATTAATAATTAAACGAAAGGAGTATTTAAAAATATAGCTTTGTTTAATGAGTAAAAAGTGTCAAAGAAAAGCTGAAGCTAAATTTTAGATTTAAATACTATAAAACATGACTCTTTTATATATGATGTTCTAGAAATATAACTAATTGTGTTATACTTTTGTGAGATTACCTCAATTGCATTTGCTTCTAATTATTTTTTCTATTTTAAAAGTTAATATTTACTAAAGGTTGCTATTATTTATTCAACTACTAAACGTGTCAAGAAATCAAAGGTTTTAGTTCTTTTGGTCATTTTTAGTTGTTAAATTTCATGATATGAGGTGTTTAAATTCTCTGAAATGTTATTTAACTATTATTATATAGGAGTTGAACCATTCAATACATAATTTACTTTACAAAAAATTTTAATATAGTATTGATTTAACATTTTTTGTGATATTTTCAATAATAATCCTTTTGTGCTTTATTAATTCTATTTTGTTTGCTGATTTGTTTCACAAAATGATGGTTGAAAGACAAAGTTTTCTAAAATTATCCTTTTACAATAATGTACTTTTTGTTGGTTTGTTCTTTTAATTGGATTTAAAGATGTCTTTGATCTTGGCAAGGCTTTGTTAGTTTGAAAAGAATCATCTATTTTTAATTTAATTTAAACATATATACTATGACAATTAAATTTTCATTATGTATGAAAATAGCAACATTATTGTTTGTCTTTGAATATGTCAAGGCATCCAAGATTTTAAACAACTTATGATCAAATGCAATTAAACTTTATAATATTGTTTCATGAATAATGTTTTTGCTTGCAAATTAGTTTTGACATTAAACACAAGCTTAAGAAAAAAAAAGTATGGATGAACTTGTTAGATAATGAGATAAAAGGTAAACTAAAAATAAGATTTTGTTGATTATAGTTAATTATTTATGTATGATTAGTGAAAATTTATACATTTTCTACTAATATTTCTTAAAAATTTGTGCTTGATTTGTTTTTCACCTGAAATTTATTAACTCCAATGATTAAATCCTGCAACAAAGTGCATGCCTCATTCTTAAAGACTAAATTTGCTTTCATTATTCTTTTGTTTGCAAATGAAAAGTCTTAATTCCTTATAGTGTTTACCTTCTTTAGCCCATTCTCTTGGCCTTAATTTTTTTTTTTGTTTGCAGGATAAGATTGAAGAATTTTTGTTATTAGGCAGCTTTCTCTCAACCAAAATTTCTCAAAATCCTTCTCTACTAAAGTTCACCGTATTATTGTTGTCCATAATCGAGAAACACCATTTGTTTTCATCATCTCAGATAATCCATCCCTGTATGTTATAAATCTATGAACATTGTAGCCTCAATACTTCTATAATTCTTTGATTGATTCCTTCTGCACTAAGCTCTTCTGTGAGGTGTAATTCTTAAATTAATACTGTTAAAATTATTTTTATTTTCTTTAATTTTTCATTATAATTCATTGCATAATTAATTAATTATAGCTCGAATGTGTTAATGGATTGGGCACCATGTGTCCTGAAAGAGCAAAATTAGTAGTTCCTGTTGTTTTAAGCATAAGAGTAAGTGAAAGCCTTGTGGTTGGAATTCTGATTATTGGGTTGCATACTAGTTGTGGCAATCTTTATAGCACTAAAAAAGAAATGGAAAAATGTGTAGCAAACATTATGCCAATTCTTGCCACTTCCAACTTTCTATCTATGATTCAAAATGTGCTTTTGGTTGGGGTATTCAAACTTTTCTTACATTCATTTTATTTCTTTATTTCCACATAGATAAAGTGCAAAAAACAATACAAGTTGAAATCATCTTTTCTCCAACCATTTGACATATTATTTCTTATTGTTGTATCTTTCATGTTTTGTATTGGCTTAGATAAAGCAAAAACAACAATACAAGCCTTGTGGTTGAAGTTTGATATGGACATAGTTGATTGTTAGATGCAATTGATTTTGAGAACTATGTCTGTTTTCTCAACTTTTTTCTATTAAATTTGTTTTTTTTTAGATTATTTCTCAATAGCTTATCAAATACAATCTTAACTATTGGGAATAGGTTTTTTTTTTTTTAATCAAAACATTGGTTTGATCAATATTGGTTTCAACTATTTTCAATATTGGTTTTATCAAAACATGTGTGGGTGGTAAGGTTTCCAATTTAGAAAAAGAACTAGAAATATATGATAAAAATTCTATGTAGTTGTTATATGTTTAATTGGGCTGAAAAATATTGATAAAATTTTAGTTTCATGGGTTTGGTAAAAATTTGCATTAACCAATTGATATTTAGTCATTTTATGATTTTTCTTTTTTTTTGGAGAATTTATAGGTAGAAAACATAAGCAAAAAAAAAAAAAAAAAGATAGGAAGAACTACCTAGTTGATCTTAGATACATTGTCTTAGAGCTTCAATCTTCTTGCTAAGTGCTACGTCAAAAATGCTTAAGCTCATTTTTTTTTCATTCATTTTTCTTTCGATTCATTTGTAGAATTGTCTTTGTTTGATATAATATTTAATTTGGCATTCCTAAGTCACTATAGACGATGAGATTTGTTAACTACTAATTCTCCATAGTTATCCACCTTATCTACTATTTTTTTTATGATTCTATTTGTAATGATCTTAATCATTTCCTTCCACAGTCTTAACCATTAGCTCTTTTAAAGTAACAAACTCTTACAAGAATGTTATTATAATAAGTAAGTTGATAAGGAAAAAAATATATAATTTCATTAACCTACAAACTAGTATAAATTATTAAGAAAACTAAAATACATTAACCTACAGATATCTTTTTTGCAACTAGAAAAAATGCCAACCATAAAGTAATAGTTGTGTTTCTAAAAAACATATAAGAAAGAATTGAGAAGTGGCAAGATTTGATTCAACATTATAACACAACACCAACCTATTATTATTAGTCACGACAACTACATTATTATTTTTAGTCAAGTATGTTCACACTTTACACCAACCTCTAATTAATTTATACATTGCTATTTATATTTTACCAAAAGTCTTCTTTATTAATTACTTAAATTTGCTCCAAATATTATTTTTAAATCTAAGGGGAACATGGCTTGAAACTTAAAAGATATTAAATATAAAATTATTTTTGGTATATATAATCAATAGTATTTAGTTATTAAATTCTACGTAATAATTATATTATGTGGGTGTTATAATTGGTTTATTTTGATACTTACATATAAAATTAAAAAAAAATAAATTAAAAAAATGAATAAAATAATAATAAGTCACATACAACACTAGACAAAAACATTAAAATTTTAAAGTAAAATGTAAGAATAAATCATGTGAATGTATGTATTTTCTTGTACTATACAATACAAATCAACAAAATATGAAATTCAAATCCAATAGTTTATATACAAGTAAATTAAAAAAAATTGACACTTAGACATTGAATATGATATTAGACTTGAGTATGGCACTTACATTTGAGTTGAAGCCAGTAGTACACCTTGCAATTTGTGTTTTTGTATCATGTCTCATATCGTGTTTGACATGTGTAATGATATGAATTATTAAAATATGAATACGACACGAATTATAAAACGTATTTAAATCCTAAACACAAACACGACACGTTTAATATACGTATTATACATTACAAGACACGATTAATATGTATATAATTAATTCGTTTAAATACGACATGAATAAACATGAATAATACAAATAATTACGATTAACACAGATATACACAAATAGATATGATTAATACGAATATATATAAGAACACGACTAAAATAATAAATAATTATAAACTATCCATCATTTACAACTTAATAAAATTAGCATATTAATAATATAAAAAATTACTTACGTATTAAAAAAATTTTAATATTCATTTAATATGTATTTAATATATATATATATAAATTTTAATTTATATTACATAACTATATTAATTTTTAGTATCAAATTCAAAATGATAAACTATTAAAGATTAAAGAATAAAATAATAATGTATAGGACTAATATTAATATTTATATTGTATTTATGTTATTAATATAAAAAATAATTTTATAATAAGTATTAAATGAGTATCATAATTAAATATTTAAAATAATTTTTATATAAAATTAAATAGCTAATTAAGTATCATAATTAAAAAATTAAAAATTAAAATAATCTGTTATATTAAATTAAAATAAATATAAAAAATATATTAAACACGTTAAACATATTAAATGTATACTTGTATAATAAGATTATATTAAATATATTATTTGTATTATGTCATGTATTTAAATGAGTTAACATATATATGACACGAATTGTGTCGTATTGAAATTTATGTCAAAACATATAATTATGAAATGTATTTTTTTAAAATACATATATGATTTTTTGTATAATATCACCTATTTATATCTAAAATTATCAACTCTATTTGGTAGCCTTTAGCTTTTAACTTTTATCTTAGCAAACTTTAGAAGTTGAAACTACGTATTCCAAGATATTGCTTTATTACATCGAACTTGGTTTAAGTCATTAAAGTATAAAATCCAATTATAAAAACAACTAAAAGTAAAGATCGATGAAAAAAATACAAGTAACCTCATAAATTTCATTATTTTCAACAAAACTTGACAAATACAAGGATAGTACATGAATCTTATGGCTCTTAATATCAAGACAAAAATTGCTCTTTTTATGAAATAAATAAATAAATATCAAAACCGACACAAGGTTAGTACATGCAATCCTTTAATGTTAAAGCTTTTTTATGGTATTGTTTTTGAATGAAAAAGATGTTGAAATTTGCTTGAGATGAATAATGAAAATTTGGCTGCAAAATAAATTTTTGATGCACTAATGGAAATGACGCTGAAATTTCAAAGTATAAATGAATGTGCAATAAGATTTCAAAACGCAATACATGGAATTCTTAAAAACCTAAAAAAAGATAAAAAGATATAAAAAAAAAAAAAAAACAAGAAATCAATAAAGAAACAAAGCATAAGAAAGAAGTTAAAGGGAAAAAAATAAATAAGTCATAAAAAAATAATAAAAAAAAGTAGAATCCTAACATTTTTAAAATTCTTTTTATTTTATTTAATAAATAATATTTAATTTTAATTAATTAAAATCATGTTAACAAGTAATTAATTATTTTTATAATTAAAAAATAATTAATAATTTATATTAATTCATGTATATCTAATATTTATTATTCAATGCTCTTATAATAAGAAAAAAAACAATTTAAACTTTCAGCAAAAGTTCCCGATAGAATAAAAAGATGGGTGTCGTGTCGCCAGTAAATTTTGTAAGTTTTCCCTCCGTTTCCCAAAATCCTTCCTCAAAAAAGTAAAGCAGCTATCATCGTTTGTTTGTTTGTTTGGAAGAGAAGAGAAAGCGAAAATGGAAGAGTATTTGCAGTGCATGAAAACTCTCCGCTCCCAAATCAAGGGTTCTGTCTCTTTCTTTCTGAATTTCTTTGGAATCAATCAAATTCTGAATTGTTTGTAAATTTGTGAAAACGAAATGCAGACGTGGAGGATGAAGCCGCCAACATTTCAGCTGAAGAGCAGATTCACTTTACCACCATTCAAACCTTACAAAATGATCTCCTTTCTGGTATTTTTTTTTGTTTGTTTTGCTAATCCAAGAATTTATTTGAAATAATGATTATTCTATTCTTCTTCTTCAATCACCGTAAACTTGTTTTAATTTGCAGCAAAATCCAAAACAATGCAACTTAGAGAAGATACTGAGAAGATGCTCAAGGAGAAGGGTCAATTATGTTGGCATATAATTGGAAAACAGAGAAAAATAGCCTCTTTACACTCTGATTCATCCACACTTAACCAGGTAATCTCTCTCTCTTTCCACTTATATGAGTCGGTACACACATCTTATCCTATTGATAACCAAAAAGAAGAAGTATCACCAATTTGAATATGGAATCAAGTTATTGATACTAAATGGTCACATTTTATCCAGCCATTTCAAAGTATAGGAAGTCATTCTGCTGTGCTTTTTTATGGATTATATTCTGACTGAGAATCTCTGTTGTATATATATATTTTAACTTTTAAACAAAGAAGGAAACCTTTAAGCACCTAATTTGAGAGTAGCCAAGCCTGATGAGATAACTCTTCTAATTGTTTATCGAATAGCAGGCTCAAACTTGGGAAAAAATCATGGTCTTTTGAACAATATGCCTGTCAAACTTTAACTATCTACCTATTTGAAACGTTAACATTTGTTTCATCTATCGAGATTAGGTATCCTCTTGCCATTATATTTTCAGCCAACATTCTTATTGTTTTTGTCTCTGACTTGCGTATAGACAATGGAGCTTATTCAACAGGAAAAGATCAGTTTATCTTCCAAACTAATAGAAAGGAGGTAATTCAAAGTGAACTTCTGACAATTTAATTCACACTATGTGATAGAACAACTGCTAAAAATGTCTTAAACTCTGTGATGATGCATAGCATGTTGGCCAACATGATATCTATGTTCAAACTGTTGGTGAAATTGAATAGGCTTCCTGGATGTTTCTGGAGAAAAGTCACATATATTTACATGTTGATCAACACATGAGACTGTCACAGTGATGCAACTCACAGTACTTAGTTCTATGTTAGCTACGAATTGAGGAAGCTGTTTTACTGGTACTAATGTCAATGGACAGTGTTGTCCTGATGGATACCTGAGGTTCTTGATTTAACATGTTGTAATCTCCTGATGTCATATGGCAGGATATTCTACATCATATGTGCCTCTGGATATAGGTTTCAGGCTGAACCTTGTCAATTGCTTCTATTAGCATTCTTTTATATGCTTGATTTATTTCTATTTCTTACTTTAATTGATTGGTCTCAGTTTTGTGGTTAATTGCACAACTATGATGAATCTCTATTTTGATTATGATGACAGCACTTACTACTCCAAGGTGGCCAAGGATCTTTCTACCAAATTACAGCAACAACAGGTTTGAGTCCCATAACCCTCCTCTGAATTTCTTAGTTTCATGCTCAGTTTTCAACATACAGTTGGTGATATCCTCTTACTATGTGCATAGGACTGGGTCAAATCTCAGAAAGTCAGCAGACAAATTGAAGAACATGGTTTGGTACTTCGCTACATCTTCCATGATTTCCTTTGATTAGGAATATGAATAAAGCAAGAAAGGAAACAGAAAAGAGACAGACAATATAGGCAAAAGAAACAACCCTTATAGAACAGAGCTAGTCTATCATCTCTCTTTCATTGTTTACAAATTTTTTGAGCTTTTGACTAATGTTGATGAGTCCAAATTGACTGAGTAGGAAACTTAAAATGATGAGATATACAGTAATTCTTGACAACTTTGTTTGATTTTCTAGCGTTTTATACAAATTGTATCACTTGTGATCTTTCGCATCTCCTTAAATGAACAATGGGTGAAATAATTACTTTCCTGAACTGAGATAGTAATAAACTGATGTCCTTTTAGTAATAAGCATGCATGTGTAATGTTTGAATGCAGATTTTTAATATGTTAAAATTCATGTCAAATTTTTTCAGTTTATGTGTGTGTCGAGAGATCTGACAAAATTAGTTTAAATATCTATTTTGAGGCTGATCTGGTTCATAAATCTCCTAATTTCACTTTTGAGAAGGGAAAAGAGAGAGCCCTAATGCGAATACAATAATCAAGTATTACCCTAGTTATAAATCAACCTTTAATAATGCCCTGAGGGGCTGATTTATCATTTTTCCTTCTGACTGTTTTTTTTTAATCTGAAAGGGACTTCTTAAAGGTCTGCTCATGACAAGTTACTATGGCTTCAACTTTCTAATTCCTACAGACATTTTTTCTTACCTGAATGTTTGGATAGCTTCTAATTCTTGTAAATAGATTATTATTAATTTTTAAATGCTAATAAATCAGATATGCAGGTCAAGAATAAACTTGATGAGCAAATGACTGAATCTGAAGGTCTGGCTTCTAGACTTATCTCAATTTATTGTTTGAGGAGATTTCTCTGATTTTTAATTGTTATGTGGGTTATGCTTTCAAGTTTTTTTCTTTAAAATTATTTTTTGTCGTTATTATTAGCAACCTTTCTCTTTGTCCTCCACTGTGATTGTGAGGAGTGGCCAGCATCTTTCCTGCTACCTATGATGACCTCCACCCATTTAGAATTCAATTTGTGACAAATTATACATGTTGCATGTATCTCAACCAAACAGGAGCTGTTGATCCCATAGAAATGAACCTGTCTTTCATTTATCAAATAATTTAGGGGTGCTTATGTTATTATGCATAGTCTGGTTCTAGATATCATTAAATGTTCAGTCTAGGCAAGTAAGCAGTACACTTTGGCTTCCAAATCGCAGAAGATTTTGCACGTATTAACAAAGTAGTCACACCACAGAGCAGACTTATGTCTGTATAGATATTTCACTTGATCAATAGTCTTTTATTTGTTGAAAGAAAAAAAAAATCCAAAGTGGTCTGCGATAACATGGATCTCAAGGAAGTACAATCTATGACATTACGTTACTTTTGTTTGCTCTGGTACAAGAAATCAGGATCTAAGGATTGCTTTTTAAAATAAAAAAGATCACACAGCTTGAGAACAGTACATTATTACTTTATCATAGTGGTGAGATTTACTGAAAGGAAGAAAGAGCAAAATCCAAACCTAGAGTTTGTTAATGATACACAAAATTTTACTGAATTTTACATTATGTAGATTTTATATGAAAACTCATGAATGTTCTTACATAGGGTGCAAAGTACTCACCTTCACCCTACTACCTACATTCTAGAATAAATTTTGGTGATCTGCATAATTGATACTTATAGATAGTGTTGATTATTTCGTATCATTTTGGTTTATCTTGCAGGTAACTTTAGCATTGAAAACCAACTGATCACGGACGATGTGGTAAAAACCCTTCCACCAATGACTTGAAGATTTAAGGATTTGCTTTGTTCTAATTGCTCCTTGGAATACCAGAACAATGAAGCAGGTAATGACCTGATTGTCAAGTTGGACTTAGCTAAAGCCAAGCTGGATGGAATTAGACAAATGAAAGCGAAACTTGTCACAGATAATGGCAAGGTTAGTAAATAAACTTAAACAGCTCCACCACTTGTGTGTGGTTAATAGTGGTTAATACTTCATACAGAATTGATTGATTCATTTGTTTTCCTAATGAAAAGGGAACAAACTTGTCCTTTATGATAGAATTTTAATTTATTTGCATTTGTTGATTGAATAGGATTCAAGTCACTTTTTCCCTTCTCTTTTTCCTTTTCCCTCTGATTATGAACAAGCTAATGGTCAGGACAAGACATGCCTTTTACTAAAGTGAATCAATCATTTTAAGATATTTTATCCAGGGGAAAGCAGTTTTCTCTATTTGTCTAAAATACAAAGGAGGAGATTGCTTTCTATATTTACAACTCGAGTTCAGTATTGGCTTATTTATTTATATTTCAGAATGTTCCTTTTCAAGCAAAATATTTCTCAGAGGTAGTTGTCCTTCTCCGTAGCTTGTTCAGCATTCTGTTTAGCCTCTTCCTCACCAAGATTTAAAGAAGAAGGAAAATGCAAGTAGAAAGAAATGTTAAAGAGAGCTAACCATATTATGGTTTTTTTTTTTTTTTTTTCTTTCAGATCAAGAAGTCTATTGAGCAAGCAAACTGCAGAGCAAACCATTTTAAGGTGACTTGCTTATTAAACTTCATGCATACAAGTGTGTGCTTGTTTTCAAGCGGCCATATTTTACAAGTATGCCATTACAAAACCTTCATTAGTATTACTGACTAATGGTTGATTGAGTTTGGTAGATTCACCCTTAGAAACTAGCTCGTTCACTTGAAATATCAACCACTTGATGGCAACAATTTTCAGAATTGCCTATATAATGTCACAATAATATGATATGAAATGCTTGTATTAATTGCTGCTTCTATGTAAACTAATTGTTTTATTTAGTTGATACTTTTGTGCATATAAATATTTTTAAAGGTGAATGACAGTCCTCTGGAAAAAAAAAATCATAATATGTTTATTCTCTTAGAATCTGTTTATGGTTTTCTTCTTTGTTTGCTCACAATTTTATTGTCACTATAGCCAGAGCTATTGGAAATAAGCACAATGACCCTGGAAGAGAAATACAAAAAGCTTCTGTCAGACAAAGATAGAGAAACTGAGTATCTTTGCTCAGTGCAGGACCATGTTGAAGAAATAAAGGTAGATACATTTTTTAGATTAAGCTTTCTGTTTCGTGAAATGGCCTTTGGATGTGGTGCCAACCTATATTTAAGCAAGGCTAGTCCTAATTTGGATGGTTGAACATTTTCACCATCGATATTGTTGTCCTTACAGAGGAAACTTGATGATTCTGACATTTACTTTCAAGTTTAAATATTTCTATCTTAAAAGTCTCTTAGACCAGCGTTTTCCTTGCCAGATCATTAATAGGTGCCTCAATGTTCCACAGGGAATTTCTCATGTGATTAAATGTGCCTGTGGAGAAGAATACAAGTTGAATCTTTGTGCTTGACAAACTAAAAAACATGTAGATGGAACCCTGGATAACACAAAAATGACAAAAGAATCAGTTTTCTGTTACAGGTAATGTACAACCCAACACTGGTAGGAAAATATGGTAAAACATTAATCGTTGTTTTGAAGTAAATTTTTTAGTTAGCTGAGAATTATGTTGGAGAACAGGTTTGGACCAAGGAAACGTGTACAGTAAATACTACATATTTTACCGAAGAAAGAATATGAATGCATATGAATGCTTTCATATTATGATGAGATAATCTTGCAAATCCTGCTGAGAAGTTAAATATATTAGTTCCTGAAGTTGTGGTTCATAATTCTGGAAATTTTTTACCTTTTGTTGTGCCAATATTGTTTTATGTGCGCTCCTGCCAGCTGCCCAGCCATCTCATATTTTTAGCTTTTCCAGATTTATAGTTCCTTGTGAAAAAAAAAGAAATGTGATGCTGCTTCAACAAATCATTAAAAATTGGGCACATACATGCACAAAAGGAGTCACATCTGCTCTTATATACCTTATGGATAACATCTCAATTCTTCATGCCATTTCTTTGACATTTAAGAGCCACATTTAAAGTATTTCCAGTTGCACCGATTTCTTACAAGTTCAGATTTATATTGTTCTTAGAAATTGAAGGTATCTTGCTGGTTGATGTGTATATTCTTTGATATGTATTATTAACTACTTTCTTTCTACGGGGTTAACCATAGAAGCATATGCTCTAAGATGCACGTGTGTGTGTGTGTGTGTGTGTATATATATATATATATATATATATATATATATATAGAGAGAGAGAGAGAGAGAGAGAGAGAGAGGGAGAGAGAGAGAGAGAGTCATTTGATCCCTAGAGCATCCAGAGCTCCTGCCATATTCTGGGTTCGCCGGTGTCTATAGAGTTGATGTTAGGGTTGCCTTGAGGGACAGCATCTTCTCTTATCAAATTGTCTTCACTGTGAAGGAGCTTCTTACGGTCATATCCCACAGAACCTTCCAAAACTAAGGTCTTGTGTAGGCTACCTAGCAGGTCTTCAGTCTCTATCCCCTCCCCTCGCTCCCCCACAAATAAGACCGCTTTGGAAAGATGAGTTCCCCACCTTTTTGAAAGATACATGTGTAGCACATATAGTCATGTAACTGGGCATATGGCTTTTTATGAGAAGTAAATATGGTGTGTTGGAATACCCACCTAACCAACACACTGTAGAGATGTTTTAGACTTAACATCATCAAAACAAGTTAGGGAATGAGAGTTGGTCCTGGATATTATTGGAATCACCTTTTTCCTTCTCACTTTCTGACATGTCATCGGACCTTGCTCACGTTAATGTTGTCGTTTTGCTAGCCTTCTGCATCATCCTATGCTATCCGCAAATGTATAATGTTAATTTTCTTCATCATGTTAATTTCCTTAATGCTATTATCCATTCTCCAACAATGGCCCATGTTCGCACTTGTAACACAACGAGCGCAAGCCTATTCAACTAATATGTAAGTAATTGCTTCTTCTTGTGCAATTAAGGCGAAATAATCACTCTAAAATCCATAATGATTTATATATGGAGATTAAATTATTTTATTTAATAAACAGTTAATGATTTTATGTGGCATAGTGATCAAATCACTATTTTAGAGGGTGGTATAATTTTTGTACAAAATGGTTAAATTTTTTATTATTGAGATGAAATTATATGTTAAAATTAACAATAATTAATGTTATATATCAATTAAAATTTTGATTCCTCTCAAAATTGTAATTATTTTATATTATAGATTTTTTATATTTTTAAACAAACATTCGTTGTAATAAGTTTAAAATTAATGTGTATTTTTTTTTAATTTTTTAATATTATATTAATATAATCTTTTTGTGTTTTCTTTTGTTATGATTTTAATAGATTAGTTTTATTTTTAAATTTAATTTTTAACATATTTTATAATATAAAATTATTTTATCTGTCTATATCTATTTAATTTAATAATATTTTGTTATGAAGTTAATAAAAAATTATTAATATTTTACAAATTATTATTTTTAAATAATATTAAAATAATTAATTTATATAACTATTAAAATATTTACAATTATTTTAATACTTCGCGCACAATAATATTTGATTTTTAGTTATTAAAAAAACATAATAATATTTAATTATTAAGAATTAATGATTGTTAATAAAATAAAAAGATTTTAAATTACGAGTGATAATATCACTTTAATAATAAGATTATTTATTCATTTTAGTGTTTACATTATTATAATAATTTTGAAAATGATACCAAATATTACTTAATAGAAAAAAATTAGTAATTAGACTAATAATTGAGTGCTATGTGTTCAGATTTATCATGTCTGAGCTTCCCAAGTTCTATGTATGTGGCTATGTAGACACACACACAAGTTCATAAAATTATTTTTAATTTATTTTATTTTTCATTCATATTATTTTGCTCATATTAATTAAAATTTTCATCAAAATGGAAAGTTTATCTCGTATGTAAAATATATAGAATTAACATGAACCTTGACGTAGATTAAAACTACGATGATAAAGTAATTCAATATAAATTTTATCTTTTTTTTCAAATAGTTATCAAATAAATCCATATGATGAAAGACTCAAAATGGAATTAGAATTATTGTATATAAATTGGATAAATCATATTAATATCTATAATAAATAATTTTTAAAATGTAATGAAAATCTACGGTTTTTGGTAAATGAAAAATTTTATTAACATTCATATTTTAGATATAAATATTTAAAAATGACAAGATGATGAGCACGAATACCATTATAGTTTAACATTAAATTACTGTAGTTGAATCGAAGAGGTAGCGAGGCCAACAATTGGAATTTTTTTTTCTTCTTTTTAGCTCTAATCAAAATGGCCTTTAAGCCATTGAGCTTTTGCCAATAAAAATGATTTGTTGGGTCAATACATTTTTGAGTTTTTTGAATGTATAAAAAAAAAAGTTTCTAATATTTTCTATGGTTTCTTGTATATTGTATTTATTTTCTATTATTTTCTACAAATATCCTCAAATAACTACTAAATCAAATAAAAGTTGTAGGTAGGTTATGGATCCTACACGTACAAAATGTTAACTAAAATCAAATCAGACGTATCTTACCTCCTATGTTTTAGGATTCAACCTGAATGCTTCCACAGACCACGCATCTGCCACAACTTCTCTACCATAGCGATGTGCCTAAACACGGAAATAGAATTACCCAGATCTAATGAGGTGAAAGATCTGTCCAAAGCAAAGTTAAACTGGAAAATGAATTACCAGCATTGTTTTAATAAGTTACGTTTTCAGTCAAGGAATTCGAGGGACTCAACTCTCGTTATGTTACCCCAACAAAAGCATTGTAGCTCATAACATATAATGCACTCATGATTCCTCTGTAGCAACCCATAATAGAACATAAGTCATAATCAAGATATAGGGAAATTGGAAAATGAACCTTGAAACCTGGTTTCTACTTCATTTGCATCCTAGATTTATCAATTTAGAGGGATTTTTTGGACAAATCTAAGGCTAGATCCAAGAAGAGGAGGCTGAGGGGAATCGCGGGTGAAACTTTGGGTTGAAAGGACGCCGACCGCCAGCGGTGCTAGAGACGGAGCACCGGCAGCGGTCGCACACTGGGCTGTGGAGAGTTTTGTTCTGTTTTTGAATAAAATTTTTTTTTTTTTTTTTAGAAAAAGAAAGGAAGAAATGATTATTAAAAAAAATTGGGGATTTTATAGTGAGCTTCAAGAAAAAAAAACAAAAAGTGAATTGGGTGGACCGGATCCTACCTGTCTGACCCGATACCCGAACCAACCTGGATGACCGGCCCAGACCCGCCTATCCATTAGACCAGAGAGTACACAGACTTCTATTTTGGACTACAATGTGAAAAGTTTGCTGGGTAAAATTTTTTTTTTTTTATTTTAAAACATGTTTGTATACTTTTACATGCCCTTTACTTAATTTATAGAAAAATACATGTTTAAGAATTAAAAATTATGTAGGCTTGCATTGATATTATATTTAATTTTTGCTAATAGGATAGAATTATTAAATAATTTTTATACAAAATAAATAAATTTTGAAAACCTTGTTTAGATATTGGAAAAAATTCAAAATCACTTTTTTTTAAAAAAAAAAAATTGAATTCCGTCTAAATGTTGAAGAATAAAAAAAATTCTAATCAAATCAAAAATAAAAAAATTAAATCAAGTTAAATTAAATTAGAATTTAAAATATAAGGTAAAATTTGTCATAAATAAAATTTATTTCACTTTTAATTTCTAGAAAGAAAATAATAATAAGTAAATATGTATAAAACACGTAAAAAATCAATTAAATTGGTTGTTTTAATTTTTGATTTTCATTCGCATAAGTTATTTGTTTCATGTTGCATTAATATAAAATTATTAAGAAAAAGAGAAGTTTGTAATTTCTTAAAGTTCAAACTTGAACCTATCAAAAACCTCAAACTCGTTTAAATTTATAAAGATTTACATGAAAATCTTTTATGAAATAATCTATTCCTGAATACCGCATAGATGTTAGAGTATTTAGGAAATTTTATTTTATTAAGAATTTTTATATATTTTTGTAACTCAAAATAAATTTGTTTTATTAAAACAACAATTATAAAAATAATAATAAAAAAATAATAAGACGGGATTTTAAATATAAAAATTCGTATCCAAACTCTACTTAGATGTTGAAGAGTCTAGGTAGTCTTTTTATATTTAAAAACTCGATTCTTAAATTTATACTTAATCGTTATTTTGTATATGTTTCGTTTTTAAAATTAATATTCTCATTTATAATGCATATATATATAAATACATATATATATGTTTGTTTTAGTTATAGTTGTTTAATATTAATTACATTATTTTTTGTATTTTTTACTATATAAAAAGTTTTTTTTTTTAATTTTTAGTTTTAAACAAATAAAAGTAAAATAACATTTTATGAAATATAATTGATTAGTACTCTGCCTAGATGTAGGAGAGTTATTAATAATTATTATTTACAAAGAATGTTATTTATTAATTTTAGATGAAAAATTATGATAAATTTTAAATGAAAAGACCATCTTCGAATTTTGCATTTATGTCGAAGACTTCGAGGGATTTTATTTAATTTAAAGATTTTCTTAAATATTCCTAAATAAATAATTTTTTTAAACTAATTTTATTTCTTACAAAATAAAGGGAATTGTAATTAATTTTCATATAAAAGCCATTTTTGTCCAAAATTATAAATAGCGCATGATTAATTGGTACCAATTCTATAGGTGTTATATGGATGTTAATCATTTCCCACACATAATTGACTCTCGAACATTTTTCTATTTTTGTAGACCAAAATTATCTTTTTATTAAACTCATTGTTTTTATTAAAAAAAATAAAATTTTTGGGTGATCAATTACACTCTAAAAAAAAATTAGTGGTGACTCATTGTGTTTTTCTTGATTTTTAAAATATTTTAGATCTAGCGATTGAGTTCTCGAATCAATATGTTACGGCATTCATATCTTTAGCATTTCCAAATTTTAAAAACTTTTATAAAGGTTCAATTTGATAAAATAATTAGGACAAAGAGCTCCAACTCAACTCAATAAAAAAATTCAGATCTACAAAATACCTTTATAAGGATTCAATTCAACAAAATAGCTTGGCTTAAAAGCTCGAACTCAGCTCGAACAAAAGACTTCGGATATA